GAAGAACTGACTGTGAAGTACCTGAAGACCTTTTTAACCTTTGAAGCGAGAGGTATATAGAGGTTTTTGATGACAGAAAGACTTATTTTTCCCCTTCCAGTCATTGTTGGGCCTCTTAGAGCTATCGTTTTCATGGTTTTTTGGTGAATTTTACTTACCTCAGTTTGATTCTGAATTTTTAGTAGCACAAATCCTCACCAAAGATGATTGGCTGACATTAAACATGTTGATTTTTGAAATGTAAACAAGCTCCTATTGATCACAATTACGTGTTCCAATGATGTTATTGGTGATCAGAAAGAAGATTCTGGAAACGGTTGCTCTCAAAAAGCTCGAATCCCTTGATGAAAACTTCCATGACACCAAAAGATCAAGTGATGGGTAATGTGGATTGCAAACTCCCATCTTTTACCTATGTTCCTCAAGTGGTAACAAAGCTTTAATGGAAAAAAGCTGAGGTCTAAATGCTTTCCTTGAGATATTTCAATCTGGTGCTTACTTAAATGAAAGACTAGTTAGATTGACTTGTCTGATACCACAAGTAGTGAAAAAGAAGATTTCTTCTGAGGTTCAAGTGAAGTCAAAAGACTATCCCAATCAGACAGATTCCTTTTGAGAAGAGGTTGTTTTTATTTTTGGATTTTTTTGGTGGACCTTTAATTGTCCCCTTTCCCAAATCATTCTTCCCCTTTTCCCTTTTAACTTAACAATTCATTGGTTTTCGGACAATTAACAGTAACAAACTGTTGACAATGATCCTGGTAGATAGAGATTATTATCAATCTATTAGGGGGGTGAAATATTGTCCCCAAAATTTGACTTAGAGTACTTTTGTATGAAGATGAGTTAGTTACTTTGTGAAAGTTGTAAAATATTGTAAATTCATTTTCAATTTTTCAATAAAGATATGCCATTGTAGCATGATTTCGAGTTAATAAAAAAATAAAAAAAAATAAACCTTTCTGAGCTTATTGTTGTTTATGTATTTTGATTAGATAATACAAAAATATCTTGTTTGTTATTTTGATATATTTATTTATTTATATTAATGATCTTATCCTACTTTAACAATTGTTGTTGTACTTGTATGGAGTGTCGATCAACTTGTTTGGATAACAAGTTATACGTATATGTATATATTTTGCTTATCAGTTTTATGTGTATACTTGTTTTGCTTATCTGGCTTTTATATGTTTATATTTACATAACCAGATCAAGGATAGGTATATTGTTTATGTGTATATGTACGTTTAGACTGTCTTGTCTTTAGGGAGCTTTGATATCCTTCTGAGCCATTAAGTAATTGGGGCAACTTGATTTATCGAGCGAGCTTAGTTGCTTTTTGGGTTCCTTACAGTGTCAAGAAAGGTGTTAACCTGCACTGGCCTATCTGTAAGCTATGTGAAGTTGATATTGGCTCCCTTTTTCTGACTGTGAATCAGTTTATAGGTCTCTTTTCTTTCTCCTAAAATTTTAAGAAAAGAAAGTAAAAGAAAGTTAGTAAAGTAGTATATACCTCTTTCCTTGATGGTTCTAGGTAACTTGTTGTATGTATGTTGAAAGTACTTGGTAGTTTGATTTAAAGGATATGTTGTTTTTCCTTGTATGTTTGAACTGTTTCACTTTTTTTAAGAAAATTATCAAAAAAGGAAATTTTTGAAAAAAATAAGGATCAGCAGAAAGAATTTTTTTTTCTTTATTTACTAGACTTATAATATTTAAGTATATTTTGTATTGGATAATTAATAAATATAATAAATATATAATATTAGTTAATATCACAATAGAGGTTAGTTTTCCATATAATAATATATTTAAATATTTTGAATTAACCAAACAATTGTTTTAGATTAAGAAACTTTTTTTTAAATAGATTAGAAAGACTTTGTCTATTTCAGTAACTTTAAATAACAAGTTCTTTCTTTTCAATTTAACTTAAGCTTATTTAAAAAAAAAGAGAAAAAGACATTTTCAAAAAGAAAGACTTTAAGGTAAAAAGAAATTAATAAATCAGTAAGTAAATAATCTTTATCAAAAAAATTTCTACTTGCAAAAACATGTATATATACTATTTGTAGTAAAAGCTTTACTAGTCACATTAAATAGAAAAAATATTTTAATAGTATTTATAAATATGAAACTATAGAAATAAAAATACCTGAAGAATTTTGCAAAAAAATAAAATGAAAAGTTATTGTATTTGACAATGAGCATACTATTATCTTGAATAATCTAGAAGCAAATATTTCAAGATACATCATTATATCTGATCTGATAATCTCAATAAAAAGAAAGTTCAAAAGATGATTAAAAGTATAGATAACAAATCTGACAATTATCAGGTAACTATCAAAAGTGATATAATGATTAATATAGATAATTATATACTATTCAATGGTTTTTTTTGGTTTAATTATATGTGAATTCAAGATTACTTTAAAATTATTATTGGTGTTATTTAATAATTTCATAAAGAATGGTTTAAGTATATTAATGAGTGATTTGAAATTTTATGACAATTATAAAAGTATTTTATTAATCTTTAAAGTATTAATGAAGTAAATAGCCAATTGATAGAATGGTTAATTATATATATCCTATATTTAAAGTAATTTATTGATAAACCTTGATGAAAGAAGAAATTCATAAATCACTCTGAAGTACTTAAAATCTAAGTTCAAGATAAAGAATTACAATGATTTTATAATTAAATTATCTTTAAAGATTGGTCTAGGAAAAATTAAAAAAGTATCATATGCACTTCTTTATTAGACTAGTTTGTACATATCTTGTAATATATTTATCTTATAATTATATTATATGTAAACATTATTTCATAGTAAATAAATGGTATAGTTGATGTTATTTATCAAACTACTGGGTTATAAGAGCATAGATAAGGATTTTAAGTAGTAAAATCTGTGTTAATGTAATCCAATATGTATTATTCTTTAAATAAGGATCAAGGGTATCAATAAGTTCAATAAAACTGGACAATGTTATCCTTGTAAAAAAAAAAAAGGTCATAATTAAATAAAAATAACATGACAATTATTTTAAAAGCAGTTATTAAATTAATCCTTAGTTGAAAGAACTATATGTCTTTTATTAATTTTTTTAATGTTTTTTTATAATATCTAATAAATATACAGTATTATATTATATCTTAACTTATGGAAGTTATTAAAAAATCAGATAATTGACAAGCTGTTTAGTTAAATGAAAAAACCTTTATGAAATTTTTATTTGTATAATAACCTTTTACGTGCGTGACGTAAAATTACAGATATCGTATTTCGGAGTTAACATGTTCAACCTGCTACAGTCCGCGTTACTAATAAGAAACTGCTGAAAGCTATTTTGCATAAAAACTATCCAACTCGGCTTATTAGCTACCACTATCAATATCAACGGCAAGTGTGATATTATTGATTAAAAAATTTCTTTGGTAAAAATGGGATGTGTTGTCACTTATAGGTTTTTGAATGATCCATTGTCTGGCGTCTTAAGAGGATAATGTCTGGATGAATCTTGTTAAAAGATTACTGACAACCTGGGTTTTGCCACGCGGAGAGTTCACAATTAATTTTACGCTTTAGGCGAAAGATATTTAATGTTGAATAGCAGTCCCTTGAACCAGATTAGATGTGTTTGGTCAGGATTGGTTCTATCTATTGTTGGGCACGCTTGGATAGTTTCCGCTCTTTGTTCTGTCTATCACTGCACCCAAAAAAATGTTATCATCAAATGTATTTCTTTTTAATACAGTATGTACTGTATTTGGGAAGGAAAAATTAATGATGACTTTGTTTTTATTCCGTCATACATATTTCTCGACATTCTGATCTTGGAAAAAAACGCTATTAAATTCTGTTAAAAGCTGTTGAGAGGTTTCATTAATGATATCACGTGTGAGGAATCTTTCACAGCGTAAATTTGATTCTCGTGTTTCACGAATTTGGTACATGCGCATGCGAGGTAAGAATCTCTTATTTATTTTTTTTTTTTTAATCTTCTGACATTATAATTAATTTGAATGCAAACAACTCGACTTGAATTAATGAAACATTTTAAGAATGTCTGATAAAGTTTAGCGAGACCAGGTAAGTGATTATTTCCAAGTCAACATGAATTTTTAGGTTCGTGACTCGAAAACGATGTAAGCTTGAATTAATTCAGGAATTACTGTTCTAGAGTTCAGGAGAATCAATATTCATCTTAAGAAATAGTTATCCAGGTGAGTCGGGAAGTATTTGAAAATATTATTTGAGATTTTTTGATGCATATAGTAAAACTAAGTAGTTACATTGAACTTTCTAAATATGAGGCAAAGAACGTATTGCGATCATATTACGTAATAAATTTACAGCATGTGTTCTAATTCATGGGAATATAAAGTTGTGGAGAGATGATATTCCATTTGATTATATATTATATTATGGAAATAAAAAATTGAGCGATCTCGCTAAAAATTGTTGAATTCGGGTCGTGAGGTTGAATTCGTGGACTTGTAATAAAGGATAGAGATGAGTATATTAGACGAAGAAAAGGCTTTAGGATCAAGTTTTTAATCTGGAAATTGGTTTTGACCAAAGTTACATAACCAGTCAAATATGATAACGTGACTAGATTCATCTGCAGCAGAAAAAAATTTTTTAACCTCGGAAAGCCGGAACTGTAATTTGGACGATCTGCACCATTGGAAAAAAAAGCATTTCAATACAATTCAGTGATACATTGATCTACAAATTCTCCGACACACAATACTCCAACTACTTGGTGTCATCTTTTAATCAAGGGATAGACCATTAATATAAAAAAAAAAAAAAAAACTTTAAAGTCGCGTAACAAATTATCGATAGACCATCATAATACTCTCGAATCTTAAAAAAAAAAAAAAAAAAAAAAAAAAATTCACGGTCACAAAATGTCCACCATTAGGTTCACTCCTTTGAATGCCCCTTCCAACTATTCCCAAGCTCAGATTCAGGTGGATCCTCTAGAAGCTCCATTCCGAGAATGTGAAAAGGAATACAACTTGGCTCTAAGGCGGGATCCCTCTAGCGCAAAGGAAACATATGTTTCGTTACTTAGACACGACATAATAAAAAATCCTCTATATCAGGTGGAAAATAATGGAATAAAGTTATCGCCAAGAATAACCCGGTTAAAATATTGCATATTGAAAAACTATGCCGAGATTCTTGAGAAGGAGTACGAAACCTTGAAGACAAAAATTGCTGCTCAAAATGCGATTGAACATTATTATAAGGCGTTAAACATCGATCCAAGCGATTATAGCATTTGGCTTAGGGTTGGTAGGCTCGCCATGTCTAAAGAATTGAATGATCGTGAATTCGCCCTCTATGCGTTTAATCAGGTTTTAAAGGATTTTCTAACCAAATCAAGTCACGATGGGACACGATCGGAACATATCTTCCTTACTCCGCATCACAGTCAAGCTTTTGAGGAACTATGCCGACTCTTATATGATTTCGGCGATTTCACGGCTTGTTTGTCCGCGGTAGATAAAGGGCTGATGGTCGATCCTTGCAATCGATTGCTTCTTCAATTGAGATATCAGCTGTTATCTGACACTTGGATCAGGTTCTCATTACCGACCAACTATTATGACACAGCAACCCCAGTTACACGACCAATTAATTCAGAACCGATACCGAGACGCGTAAGACCTTCTGGATTCTATCAATCTTCCAAAGATAGGCCTGATACAAGTGTCAATATTAAACTGACTCAAGCATCGTGGGTTGAATTAGGTGAAGTCTTACTGCACACGTTCGATGATTTGACATCCGAGAAAAAGGATCCCAATGATTCCGATTCGGTGGCTCGAAAAAACCAGAGAATCTTCATAGAGTTACAACCATGTTGTTACATTAATTCTGCTACCTCGAACGAGACCAGCGGGTCTTCGCAAAAACGTAAAAGAAAAGTCGATGCTACAACGGAAGCAGAGGACAGGTCGACCAATGGAAGAGTTAATAGATGGGCTTCGAAGAGAACTGAAACGATTGAAACCTTCAATCGACAGCGTGACGAAGCAGCATCCGAATTTACCGATAAGGTAATTACTCTTATGGCCAAATTCGATTCGGACCATTGTCTTGTCAACCAGCAGCCTGATGTCGAGGATCAAATCGAAAATTTCATAGGATATTTTAACAAAATATGGACATTTCACGTCAACAGTGAAGATCAAGGAAGTTCGATCGATAATGTGATCAATAAAACAGGTCAAAAGACAACCTCAGATCCTCGTTATTACATGTTCACCCCAAACACAAATCCTCCGCCTTCATCGTCGTATTTCATTGAGGTTCCTGGTACGGAGGGGGCGTTGATTTCATTTGTGAGCAAGTTGAACAACCTCAATTCCGGTATTGTTGATTGTCTGTGCAGGTACATAATACATTTACTCGGAAATTTCGTTAATTCTGACGAAGGAATAGAAAAGTCTTTGTGGCTATATCGTTGGCCTGATGGTCTAAAAGAGATTGCGAGAGAGACCTTACGAAGGGTGGATATGGACTTGCTATCCATTCTTGATGGGTTGTGCAAAAGCTGGGATGAGAAGGGTAATTGTGCAGAGATGTTGATGAATATTGAAGATGACAATATCGCGAAGGATTATAGACGAAAGATGGAAATATTGATGGCCATTCACGAACTATTGTTGGACACTCAAATCTCGTGGACTTGGGCGCCGTCCGCCGAGAATAGTTCTCATTCCTCCGGTCATCTTCCGGAATTTTCATCGGGATTACAATTCACCTTAAACAACTACATAAATTGTTTTATTAGATCATCGCTCTACATGTCTGGCTTTCTAACTACTGCCGAATCTCAGGCACCCACCTCTGGTCCTGAGGTGGAAAGTTGGAATAATTCCTATGACAGGTGGAAAATTTGGGCGTCACAACTAAGCGTGAGGTATTGGTGGTGCGTTGCTCGAATGGAAATATGGAAAGGGGAGTTGGATTCTTCAATTAATTTTCTCGAAACCTGTAAAAGGACGTATTTGTCGGGTGATCACAATGATGGAATCGTGCTGGCGAATTGTGCCTACGACGCACAAATAAATCTTTCGGAGATAGATCGTAAGATATGGACGATCGAATCTCGCAAGGATCAACCGGACGACGAGTGGACGCTGGCGATCACCAATTTTTCCGATTCAATCAAGTTTCTACACCATTGGATGTCCGACACATTTGATAATGACCGAGTCATCTTATTCTGGACCGCCATTAATTCAGTTAACGAGTCACTTGCAAATGTGATTGGATTCCTCTCGGGTCAGAGCCCACTCGCGAGATTATCAACGATTGATGCTAAAAGGTTCGACCCATGTTTTCGATTATTATTCCGAATAAGCCTTGATGTTCTATTTCCGCGTAGTATCGTATTGAAGGAATCCATTAATGAACCGTTAAGCATATTGTGCGTCCGAACGTGGGTCTTGTTTAGCTATTTGATAAAAGAGAGAATGGTTGACAAATTGGCCGATGATTTTGCTGAGTTTCTGGAAACTGTACACGATCAACTCGGTGATCGTCACATTTGTGGAACGGACAATGGAGTCTTTCTGAAATTCGTCATCACGACATTACAGAATTTGCACCCGACTGATTATAGATTTCAAGAATACCAATGTTGTCACTGCCTATATAGGGTTTCATTGACCGTGGATTCAACACCACCAAACGACCATCAGACTTCTCCTGCTGATCTCGATCACCAAACGGCACAATTACTCTTCCGAGAGATTCGAAATTATTTGAACTTGAAATCACGCAAGTCTTACAAAACATGGTCGATTAAAAACGATGTCAAAGAGACTCTGGACAAAATAGCAAATCTCGTCGTTCCCCCGAGCGAGAACCGATTCTCACAATGTAGTTGGAAAACCCAGCACTTTCTTGACGACGACATCAACTTCTATGACGCCGTACGATACCAGGAGCATAGTGATGATATAACAGACCTTGAAAGAATTTCGGAACAGGACTCATCGATTGATCGATCGGATCTTTCAGATCTTTATTACTTTCGTGGTAAAATTTTGTTGAATCAATTCAAGACTCGGTCGAAGCCAAATGCCACCAAGGCTGTGGAAACCTTAGAGAAAGCTATAGAACAATTCACATTTGATATTCGTTCGAATCCGCTGAGATTCGCTTCATGGTATGCCTTGGGAATTTGCTATGCCAACCTGGCTAACGAGACTCTCTCGTGGAGCGCTGAGGAGATCCTCAACAATCGGAGCAAAATAACGAATTATCAAAAGAAATCTTTCAATTGTTTTCTAAGAGCTGCCAAGGTTATTCATTGGTTTTCAAATAGAAACGCGTCAACACCCCAATTTGAAATAATCAGGTTCTGGAGGGATTTTGGATATCAAGTCTACTCGATGATGACCGAACCAATGTCAATGGAAGCCTTCGAGTTGAGTTCCACTCACGCGACGTCAAGGCGTAAACCCACATCCGAGCAGGTGTGTCAGTTCGCGGCTGTATGTTTCGGAAGGGCATTACAATTGGAAGTTCAATTAGTGCAGGATCATGAGCCACAGAATGACGCCGAGAATGATACCCCCATGGGTACCCCAAACGACATCGACACCACCCCGGTTGAAACTCCAAATGGCTCCGCAAATGAATCTTCAAATACGTCTACCAACGGATCAACCGATAAAAATATTGTTCGTGATTGGAGGTATTTGCAATTTTCTTGATCGCATAAAATCTCGAACATTACCACCAACATTTGTTTCCATTCCATTAGGATACCCTACATGATAGGAAAATGTTATAAAAGACTTAAAAAAAGTCCAGAGGTAAATTTTTAATTTTAAACCTTCACCCCAACTTCTTTGATAATGCAACTTTTCGACCAGAGGTAACCTGGATTTTTCTTTTAAATGCGTAGGTGGTCATAAGTTTGTTTAAGCTTGCGGTAGAGAGGACACCCGAAAGTTCTGGTATTACGGGCCAAGAAAAGATATTAGACGCCGAATATAAATTAACATCTTCATTAGCGAAATACCTGATAACCAGTAAAATAAAGGTATGATTGTTCATCTTCTGTCAATTTACAATCAGATCATTTTCCGTTAACATGTCTTAATTATCTTAAGCCATCCATTGTTGAGAAATCAATTGGTGCATCTCTTGAAATAAACAATGGAACCGCCGATTATACAAAGGAGGGGGATATATTTAATATTCAAAAGCCAGAATACCAGCGGGCATATAATCTTATATGCGCGAAATTAGAGTATATACGTAAATCCGATAAAAACAAGTGGTATCATCGCCCAGTATTCCGACAGGCTTGGTTAACATACCATGTGGAAGAAAAACCCGAGGAGGCAAAATCAATACTGCAATCATTGTTTCAACTCAAGACACACATAAGCAAGCCAATGATGAATGTTTGGAGGCCTGAATTCGAAAGGTATTGTTCATAAACGTACACATTGACACACACAAGTTGGTTATCTATACCTAAAACACGATCCAAATTATACTAGGGCGGGGAGACATTATGTATATGTGCATGAATATATTTTGTTGCTTATAGAATTGGCGAAAAAGACTGGAGATATGGAAATGCTAGAAACGATGAAAGCCAGACTTGCGAGATCTATGGTGGTGTTGCTTAAACCTGACATAATTCGAATCACGATGGCAAATGCTACCCGTGATGTCGAACAGGCATTACAACCACAACAGCAGCCAATGGTTTCAATAGAATTGTATTCTCCAGTTAACGACTTATATGATGTACCCGTTATCGTGGACCAGGCACGAACACCATCTACGTTGGATCACCAGGATGACGTTGAAGATGATCCCGAATCCTCAAACCGTGGATTCAGTTCTCTTCCCGTTAACGAGCCCACAAACGTCATGTCAGTCGCAGCTCTGTTATCACATGATAATGATTCGCCGATGAATGGCGAAGGAATCTCGAGTGAATTCACTGATCAGCCAATGGTAGAAATTCTTGGGGGTGAAACATCGAACAATTGTACATAATTATTTCTTTAATCAAAGACGTCTTCCTTTAATATAATAAACAATGCCTTAAAATTTGGATGAATTGTTGTAATGTATTTTCGCGATCGAAATTAACTTTTAAATAAATACATATGCACGAGCATGTAAATAATAACAAATTCTGTGACGTATAGACGATATATGCTGTATATACTGTATATTAAAACATAGATTTGAAATTTTATAACATTCAAATGTTTAACCATTTTAGAAAAGAAATCACCGATTAATAAAAAATTTTTTTAAATAAATTTACTTTTTTTTTTAAAAAAAACCGCAATCATATTATATATTTCTATATACTATATATGCTAATTAATGATAGCCTATTGCAGTTTGTCCTAGATAGACCTATTATCACTGGGCAAACCTGGCTAATAGTTGATATAATGATCATTAATAGCAAAACTAGATTAAATAGTATTGAACATTTTACAAATTTTTGTTATTTTACTAATCTAGTTCTTTAATATATATCCAAAGGAAGATAAATATTCTTTAATATTCTCAAATATTATTTACTTGGATCTTTAACACTAGTTGAAATTGTATTATTTGACTGCTGAATTATTGTCAAATTTGACAAAAATTAATAATAAAAAGATTGATGAATTATTTACAATTGCTGCTACTTGGCATTAAAAATATTGGCAAAAAATTGGCAAAAAAATATTGGCATACTGTGAAAAAAATTTTGATACAAAATTTGGCAATATTGTGACAAAAAATTTTTTTGCATATTGTGGGCAAAAAAAATTAATACTGTAACAAAAAATTTGGCAAAAAAATTGATACTGCAGCAAAAAATTTGACAAAAAAATTGATACTGTGACAAAAAATTTGATAAAAAAATTACTGCAGAAAAAAATTTGAAAAAAAAAAAAATTACTGCAGCAAAAAAATTTAACAAAAAAATTACTATAATAAAAAATTCAAATTTCATGAAATTTATTAAAACATTACAAAATCAATTAACCAAATTATTTGTTATTTTCCTCTTCCTCCTTTTTCACTTGTTTTTCTTTTTCCTTTAAAGATCTCGGCTTGACTTTTTTAAAACTAACCCAATTGATTTTATCTTGTCAAATGTTTTCTGGGATTTTCACTTTTTTCTTCTAACCTAACTGTCCTCTGAATTTCACACATTTGTGTACTTTCTTCAGTTTGTTTCTCACTCTTTGAATACATTAATGATTCTTTATATTCGATAATTTTTCATCTTTTGAATTTATTTATTAATTTTTTACCTTTTCCTATCTCTTTTTTTTGTTTATATTCTGAAATTTCTTCTAAACAATATTCCCAATTTGGCAAGCCTTCTAGTAGAATCCCATTATAGAAATATGAATTGTCATGATATCATTTATAAGTTGGCTAGAATGCTTGAATTGATTTCAAATATTTTAACCAATTCTTTAATTATAGGAAATTATAATTAATATTTTAATTATTTGACATAAAATATTTTACTGAAAAATATTTCTTCAGAATACCAACTGTAATCATATACATTTATTTTTCTTTTAGTAGAGTTTTTTGGATCAGTCTTACTTTCTTCAAGTAAATGCACCTTTGTTTTTTTAATTATATTGATTAATTTATTCTGATATTTGATAACTTTCTTTGACTTTCATTCAACAAGTGACTATGCACTTTTAATTCTTTATATCCTTTTCTTAATTATTTATTAAAAATTAATACTTGAAGATAATATAAATACAAAATATTATTAATCTTACTTCATTTAATCAGCTATTTGTATGTAAGTGACAATTGTCTGCTTTTAATTTTCCAGTTTCTGCCTTCCGATATCTTTCTTTCAAATGATAATGTAAAGTATCTAACCATTTGTTTATTTGCTTTTATGAGGAATTAAAATGTAGAGCCATGGATTTTATTAATTCAGGTATAAACTTTTATAATATTTTTTTATTCACATTACTCAAAAAAACTTTGTCTACTCCAGTTTATATTTATTAGAAATGGTTTTCATTAAGGCCTTCATTTCTGCTCTCACTTCTTCAGGTTTCAGTTCATCTTCAGTAATCAGTTTTATCAGTTTTGCCTCTTTACTGCTTCTTTTAGGTTAAATTATTCAATACTTTCTTAAGCTTGACAAACTTTTAGATTTTAATATATCAGCTGCTCTAGATTCTATAACAACTATAGAATCAAGTTCAGGTTTTACAGATTTGAACCAATCAATTTCCTTTTTTAAATCTTTTATTTTATTTTTTTGCTATTTTGATTCTTTGGAAAACTTGTTATTAATATATTTTATTAGGTCTAATTGTTTTACAAATTCAATATTTTCTCTTTCTAGTTTTTTGATCTGCATACATAATTCTTCATTTTTTAAATAAATCGGTTAGTTAATAAAGATAAATTTTAATAATTCAGCAATAATTTAATTCTAATCTTTTTCAATATTCACCTTGATTCAAATTTCGGATGACAATTCAACTTCCAGTGTTAATATTCATGCAACTTCAGATACTAATATTTTATGCAATACAATAGATAACCTTCTTTTAACCAATTCGATGATCATAGTAGAAATTGAAGATTTGATATCAGGTGTTACTGAACGAACTGATGCCACTTCTGATATAGTTAATATGAAGGAAGTTTGTGATAACAAGGAAGGTTGGGAAGGTTGCAAAGGTGAAGACAGCTGTTCTCTGTAAAAATCATATCCAGTTGGTTTTTTTTGTTTGAATATTTTAGATATTGGAAAAAAATATTAAATAAAGAGATATTTAAATAAAATTATTTATATTGTTTTAATATAATTTAGAACTATATACAATATTATACTATTATTTATTATATTATATTATATTTTTTTTTTAACCTTCTATCAGGCTAGTCATGTGTGCTTTATTAAATATTTGTAAATTGTACATATAACATGAATCGCTAAAGCTAAAAAACACTAACTAGCTCACTCGTCTATGTAATTACTACTCTAAGTGCAACTTTGGAAGTGATTTATCACTCCATTAGAAGTTCAGGTGAAAACCCTCCCAACTCTTAATATCATTGCCTGCAGGCCACTATTGCAGATCACTCTTTAAGTTCTAATATTACTCAAAACCTAACCTTCTCATCCCAAATCTAATCCCTCTTAATAAGATATTTTTTAGATCTTTATCTTCTAATTTTCCTTTCTCTAATATTGGAGTTTTCCTTTCCAGTCATATAGTTTTGGCACCTGAAAGGTTAAAGAGTCTTTTTATCTTATTTTTCTTTTGGATTCCTTGCAATCTTTCTTATTTTATCATCCTTTCACATCTTGAATTCCAAACCTTTTTCTAGAACTGGTTACAAGTCATACTTTGTAACTTCTTAATCTATCTTCTTGTTTCTTTTCCAATTCTTTTACCATGGCATTTAAGGTCTGCCATCTCAAGAATAAGTTCACTTCTTATTAACCCTGCAAAGAAACTTAGCATATCCTGACTAGTTGCTGAGAACTGTTCTACCAACCTGGATTCCACTTATGTACTTTACCTATTTCTTTACTATCATTCACTATTAATCTAGTATTCTTCTTTTCTGCTTCCTTTTTCTTTTCCTATGAAAGTTTTTTGAAATTCATCAGAACTTCTTCAAGACCTTTATTCTATATCTTCTTCATCTGTTCCTTATATACTGGACATTCTAGCTAATAATTAATTGTTTTTTCCTCCTGAAGATCACATGCAGTATATTTCACTTGTTTGTATAGATCTAGCCTTCTTATTATTAGTTTACTCAATATTGGTAGCTCATCATTCGTTAGCTTGATTAGGAAGCTTTTTCTTTAACAATCTTTGAAAGATGTATCCCACATATGACTATTCATTCTCTCATATACTAGATTTCATGTATAGCCTTATTGTTCTTGAATTTGGTGACTCTATTTTCTTTCCATTCTGTTTTGCAATATTTACTAATATGCTGTAGTCTTATTATTTATTTTCTTGATGAATTGTCTGATGGGATCATCTAAAGTTTTGTTCTGTCACTTGATTTCTATAGGGATTTTGTATGAGGTGTGATTTTTTCATTCTATTGCTAAAAGTTTAAGAACATTTTTGGATAAAACATCTGTTTCATCATTATGGAAGTCTTGAGAATGTGTCTTAACCTTGATAAGCTTCAAATCTGGATCTTTTTTCTTGACTAGTTTTACCATTTGTATTCATAATAACCAGTTTTTATCCTTTAGCTATCTTTTATACATTTTTTTTGGATCATCTTTCTTAACTATTTTTCACTTTGATATACGAGCTTGACTATTTATAGAGATTTTAATTGAGCTACCTACTGGAACTACTAGAAGTATTGTGACTATTGCTGTTAGTTCTACACATGTGAATAAGGACCAACTGTCTACTTCTGTTTGAAGTCTACTTTCTTTTCCTATATCACTTATTTGAATCCATGCTGTTTCCATCTTCATATTGTCACTGCCATAATTTATTAGTGATCTATCTAAATAGAAGGTTAACTTTTGTTTGAATCCTAGATTACGCTGGAATATCTCTATTAGATGATCTTGATATACTCCTTCTTTAATATTTTCTTTAATAATCATTTCTTCTCAACTTTTTATATTTATGTAATTCATCTTGATACCTTGAAAAGTGGACTGCTGGACTGGTTCTTGCAGACTCTGTACAAATACTTGATTGCTATCTATTGTTTTTCTAATTACTTTTTCCAAAGATATTGTGGAACATGGGATTGTTAGCATCTGAGCTCTCCTAGTACTTTTTTTTGTATTAATATATGGTATCATATATATTTTTTCCATATCTTTATTCATGATACAACTTTGTTCTTGAATAAAGCCTTTTAAGCAACCCATGCATTTAATTAGCTTTGTCTCTTGACTATTTTCACTATTCTGACACTTGTAGTATTTGATTTTTGCTTTTCTCTTAGATTCTTCTTATAGTAGCTTTCCCTATATTAGTTTATAATTGGCATTC